ATCTGGGGTATTTTTCATTCTAATTTTGAACAGACTGAGTTAAATTTCCGGAATAGAATCATTTTTTGCTTCGGTTGGTAGACCACAGAACTCTTAGTCCTATTCAATTCAAATTGGAAAGTGACGAAAAAAAAAAAGTCCGTTGCTTGTTTTGCAGTGAACTGTAACGGTTTCAATATTCGAGATTTTGCGGAGAAAGGGGAGAACCTCCCAAACTCCGTACTGTATAATGTAGTGGGGGGGGGGAATTGACTATTCGATTACTTTCCGTTTAAGCCGTTCCGAATATTATTCCTTAGAAAGCTAATAAAGTTAAAACATACTTACCCATTTTTGGAAGTTTATCAATACTTCAGTTACTGCAACTAAACTCATGTCCATAAATTAAGGATAATTAGGAGTCACGCGGAAAAGTAACTCTAAAATAAATATATCACCTTTAAAATCACTACACACATCTTCAAGAATCATATGCAAATTTCAGGAAGTAACCAGATGACACTGATGGTACATCACTATGACGAGAGTGTAAGAGAGTAATATATAACGAATACAGGCAAAGGAAGTAAAATTGTTCGCAGGCGCTTTATAAGCATTTCAGTGCAATAACCGAATAGTTATGACACAAAGGACGCATTTGGATGATTTTTTACGTGGTAGAATTATCGACCGTCTGGAATGTGGGCGTACCCAACTGGAAGTATCAGACGAACTTGGAATTGCCCAGAGTGTCATCTCTAGGCTTTGGCAACGATTCCAAGATGATGGTAATGTGAGTAGACGTTACAGCACAGGTCGCCCCAGAGTTACAACGCCGAATGAGGACCGGTATTTGGCACTTACTGCCAAAGAAACAGGCGGAGCACAGCCTCAGACCTGTCTCGTCAGCTCTCTTCAGCCACTTATACGACAATTTCAAGGCAGACCGTGTACAGAAGCTTAGGGCAGATTGGTCTATATGCTCGCAGACCTGTCAGATGCGTTCCACTTACTGCAACTCACTGTCGCCTGCGGTTAGCCTGGAGTAGAGAGCATGCATTGTGGACACCGCAACAGTGGGCTTGTGTGATGTTTTCCGACGAGTCCAGGTTTAGCTTGCAGTCTGATTCTCGCCGGACTTTCATATGGAGAGCTCCAGGTACCCATTACCACCAAGAAAACAACATTGAACGACACCGTTACGGTGGTGCAGGAGTGCTCGTTTGCGGTGGAATTATTCTGTGTTCCAGAACTGACCTGCATGTTCAAATTGGAACCATGACAAGCCAAACTATTGGGACGTCATTCTGGAACAACATGTACGTTTGTTTCGGGGCGCCATGGGCACACAATTTGTGTTTATGGATGACAACGCCCGTCCTCAGCGTGCAAACATCGTAAGCGATTGCCTTCAATCAGAGGAAATCACCCGTATGGACTAGCCAGCATTCTCACTGGACTTGAATCCAGTAGAGCACGTGTGGGATAAGCTTGGCCGACGAGTTGCAGCCCGTCAACCTCCTCTTACATGTCTACCGGAACTTCGGAGAGCATTGCTTTTTGAGTGGTGTAAATATCCTCCAAGACCAGATCGATAATTTGATACTCAGCATGCCTATGCGTTGTATGGACTGTATTGCATCGTCTGGGAGACATACAATGTATTAACAATCATACCAACCATGTAATATTGGTTTTTTTTGTAAATAGGTTTTTTTTTTTGTAATTTGCTCCAGGGAGAAAAAATCGCTAATTTTTTAAAATAATATCAAATATATAGCATCTTTTTTTTTCTCTTTACCTTTTGTTTAATAAATAAGCTTTACAAATAAGTCAAATTTGTTTTGCTTCTAACTCTTCCTTTGCCTGATTTTGCATTATCCTTAATTTATGTCTATTTATAATATACATGAGTGTATATTATAAATATTCATACATATGCTCATAATAAACAGAAATATAAACTGACCGCACGGAACGAGAATACAAATTATTAAAATCTCAACAGAAATTTAAACGTGTGTAGTATTTGGGACAAAGGGGTTTGGATTACGGAGTACCTTTGCAATTACCTTCACATCATCTTTCATAAAATTGAAATAAAGAGAGCATTTGGGTGGCAGGAAAAGAATAGCAAATGTACAGGAACTTTCTACCGCTTTCGCAATTCTTTGAACAATAGAACGACGTGTACCTGTCTGTACTCTCGTGCGCATCAAAGGTTACGTTAATGGAGAGAAAGGGGGAAAAGCTATTTGTGGAAATAAGATTCACCATCTGACGTTTCATTATAAGGAAGAAAAATTATTTATTTAGTTTCGGCTTTGGTACGGGAAAAAAATGCGCATTCGTTAAAAAAAAGTAAGCACATATCAGGGCTTTTATATTTTATTTTCAAATATAAGGACTTATAAGCATTTGTAAGGGCCGCTACGAACCCTGTCCATTACGAATTGTGGAGGATTTGAAGATGGTAGCTATTAATTGCTGAAAACGAATAATCTGTAATTTTTTTTTTTGGTGCAAAATGAATATCACGAGAAAAATTGTTTAAAACAGTTGTTTGTTTGAAAAATATGAATGTGTGACAGCAGACTAAAGTGATTTTATGCCCAAATAAAAGTACTTTGCAGGTGAAAGTTGGTGGTGATTTTTCCACAAGCAAGATCATTAAAGCAAGTGTTTCTCACAGGTGAATCCAAGGTATGACTCTGTTTAACATCTTTTAAAGATCTTGCAATGCCACTTACCAGCAGTCACCAAATACACATGACACTACTATGATTTCAAAATCATTAAATTCTCAGTTTGCTACCAACAAACTGCAGGACTATGTCAATGTATTTGCACATTTGTATACATTACAGAGGAAATAAAGCTGAATGTTTCCACTGCTTTGTAGTGCTCTTTTGAATAGTCAAGAAAAACTATTGAGTAAAGATAACATTTGTGGACTTGAATAACTTTAATAATAAAAAAAACTAATTTGAAAAAGCACATAAAAAGGTAATTTATTTTTGAACATAGCAAACATAGTATTTATCCACTTGGCACAATTTTTTATACTTTAACCCATTAGCCGCTGGTGTTGCGTTGATGCAACGGTCAAAATAAATGCGTATATAAATATAACTACCTAAGATATTTTATACCAGCAGATGATTTTGTGTAGGGAATATTTATTTCTGTAAAAAAATATTTGCCTTTAACAATCATTTTGTTTATAATAATTAATCTCATACTTTAAGCAAAATTTTCGACCGGTATTTTTGCTGAAAATACTTAACCAAAGAATCGCAGTCTTTATGAGTGATATTTTAGTCAAGGTCACCGTTTATCAAAACATTACATCAGTAAGACGTTTATATTTGTGTTGGGAAGGAAGGAAAAACAGGTGTTGCGCTGACGCGACGTCAGCAGGAAACGGGTAGTCGATTTCCTTTTTCACTCATTCCTTTCGATGTTCTGGTTGTTTAAAAATGCCTAGAACGAGGTATCTTACATTAGAAGACGCCCTTCAAAGAATTTTTGATGAAAAAACAGATGATGATAATGTTAATAATGACCAGAATGAAACTGCTATTGTTGTTGTTCCCCTAGAAATTGTAGAAACTAGTGACGAAGAAGAAAGGAATGGCAATGTTTTAAATAACGATAATGATATTTTACCAAATGATACTGCTGGGGAAGTTGAAATTCACGTAAGAAGTAAGTTTCAGCCTTCTAAACGCATACTAAAAAGTTTAAAAAGCAGAAGACTGAAATCTTGAAGTGGATAGAAAAGGAATTGTTAGTTATGTCTCAGTAAGCACATGAAGAAAAATTTAAAGAGAAATTATAAAAGACAAAATACAAGGTAAAACACTGCAAAGATTTTCGATTTTCTTTTTGGTTTAGACATTTACTCTCTTCTCATTCAAAAGACAAATATATCCGCTCAGGAAGAAAAGAAAAAAAACCAGAATTTATTACATCTGAAGCCTATATGAGAAGATTTATTGGAATATTATTGCTTACAGGATATCATTTTTTACCTCAAGAAAAAATGTATTGGTATTTTGATAAGGACATTTCTGCTCCTGTTGTTCGAGAATCGATATCACGTTTGCAGTACAGGAATATGAAGCAGAACTTGCATTTGACAATACTGATAAATTTTATGAGGTGAGACCGTATCTAAACTTACTGAATATCACCACTTTTTATTACTGGAAATATACTCTTCTAGATTTCAGACACGAGAATGCATTATTCCTTTTTAAAACTCCTATGTAGAGTGTAGAATTAGCCAGAAATAGATCAGCAACAGGAAGACCTAGTAAATTCAGCATTCAAAAACCATTGCATGGAGACGGGAGACATTTTATTGTAAAGTCCGTTGATAACAAAAGACTGTTGTAAAGAGTACCATAGCCAGACTGTTTACAGATGCAAAGTGTGTAATGTAGCTTTACATCATGGTTGTAATCAAGCTTTTCATGCTTGAATCTTTCAATTGAAATAATCTGTATTTGTAAAAGAAATACGATGTATATTTTAATATTAAATTAATTACAAGTAAAGTGATTTGTAGATTTATAAAATGTTACACAGCTAAAAAGTAATCCTGTGCTCAAAAAAAAAAAAACATCACACGAGTACAATCCTACTCACTAAACATCCGTAGTCTTATTCCGCTGACGTTGCGCGTAAGCTACACTCATTTTTTCCACAGGTAAGAGCATTTTTTAAATTTTCAATGTAAATTTATGTTATAAATGCTTAATTTAATATTTGTTATTATTTTCATGAGAAAAGAAACATTCCTTGTAGTTTTAGCGGTTAATGGGTTAACACAATAATTCACAACAATCATTTTTTGACATTGCATTATTTACTACTAGAATACTGCTGAAGAAATATCATCACAAGTAAATATTTGATAAAAACAACTGAAAAGGGGAACTTTCATTTATATTAACCACACACACACACACACACACACACACAAAAAAAAAAAAAAAAAAAAAAATGCTTAGTACTTCAAAGAAAAAGAATTTTATATTTTAGTAAAAATATGTTTAAGCATGAGAACAGACAATAAATTTGATCTTTAAAATGATTCTTACATTCTATTTCAATAAAAAATACATTCAAACTTTTGTGCCTTACAATAGTAAACATTTCTCAGAAGAAAAAGCAAAACACTTGACAATTAACGGTCCCAAAATAGTTATTTCTATTATTTTTCGTGAAACAGATGATAAACTTCCCCTGAAAGAGATGATAGTTTTCAACGGTATTTCTTTCTTAATTCAATGCATCTTTCCAAAGAAGGTCCTATTTTATAAGCTTTCACACAAAAATGATAAGAAAGCAAGTAAGAAATAAGATAGACGCGATTCTTCTCTTCTCCTTCATAAGATTTCATATGCTTCTTGCAACTGTCATAAAACTCTTCCAAAAACTTTTCATACTCTATTTTCAAAGGTTTCTGTAAGCAAGCTAGGACAGCATAAACCCACCTGCCAAGACTGTCAGTCATACCAATGGAACAGAACCATTTCTTAAAATATGTCAATAGTTCCATTAATTCTTCTTGATTTAAATGCAAAATTATACTTAAGTAGGGTTGATGCCCTTGTTTTCCCTTCTTGTTTACATTGCTTTTATTATTTCCATAACCACCAAATAACTCAAAACTTATTTCAGATCCAAGCACGAATTTACACCATTCCTCTTCCTCACTCATAGGAGGAAGTGCTACATTAAGTGGAAATTTCTTTACTAGAACAGCTCTATATTTATTCAATTCATACGATAAAGAAGCAAAAGATGATGTTTCAGTAGCAGCCCATCTTTGCAATGAATTTGGTTTTTTCTTTTCACGTCTTTCTGCTTTCGGAAGCTCAACTGACTCTTCAATGAGTTTTGATATAAGTACGAATTCAGTACCATTACTTGGTATAGTGTTTATATCAACTGGACCAACCGTTGGATCTAAATAAAATCCTGGCTGTCTAAATCCAACTTTATAATCTTCAAACCCAAGATCATTGCTCTGGAAATGATTCTGGAAAAAAATCATTTTTGAAATCATAAGACAAATTGATTATAAGACTTGAATACATAAATCACATTTAGAAGCTTTATATAAAATCAGTAACTTTATATAATCATAAACATAGTAACTTTATATATCAGTAACTTTATATAAAATCTAAAGGATTCCACTACAATTAAAATAATACATTTGGCAACCTTTAGGGGATTACATATTAAATTTGAGGCAAATTAGTCATTCAGTCTGATAATGATTGCCAGAAGTCAAATGCTCTCTTGTTTGCGGAAAAATGAATTCCATATACAGTCAAAAGTCGTTAATCCGGACTCGTCGGGACTTCGGCGATTCCGGATTATAGATCATCAGTTTAAATCTGGTAAAATGGCATGCTGAAATTATAAAATTAAAAATATGAAACCGTAATTTACGAAATAAAGAACAATTATGATCTAAAGGGTATCAAAATTTACAAAAAAAAAAAAAAGCTTAATATTTATTTGTTTACTTTATTAAACATTTCTTTCAATGTAAGTTGTTTAAGTTGCTTCGTTTTTTACGTGATAATACATTCTCTTTAATTCCATAAACAGACATAATTTCTTGTTCACTTACAAAGTTCCGCTGTTCCAAGTCCTATAATTGCTGTGTCGGGAATACCGACTAATTTGTCAATCGAAATTTTTTCGTTTTCAATAACCTCTGTTACTTTCTTCGCTATTTGTGAGAGGAAGTACCACATTTAGTAAGCAATTATAAGCCAAATAAAATAAAAACATCTGCCCTTAAGATAAGGATAGTGTTGAAAGATCAACTCCCAATTCATTGTGCTCCACTACGTTAAAGATAAACAAAGTTTACATAAACAAACGTTAAAGTTTAGATAAACAAAGGATATGCCTTTATCCATATTTTGCAGCAATTCCACTTTTTGTTTAATTGACTCTGAAAGATACTTTCGATCCTTTACATATTAGTAAATATATATCGGAAATTCTATTTGAAATAATCGAAAGTTCAAGCTTACTTTTATAAAATTGCTCTAACAGTCTGCAAAAAATAATAAGCCGGATCCAATTCGAAGATTAAGGAACAACACAATCTGCAACATTAACTGAAATAGATAATTAGATAATTTTAGCTTAGCTTATCCCGTCCGTTATAAATTAAACGCGCATTCGTAAACGTATTTTGCGCACACGCAAATTCGCAGTAGTAAAGGTCTTACGCGCATGCGTCAACGCGACGCATGCACAGAAAGTTTGTAGCTTTGAGGTCCGAATTAACGACTTTTGACTGTATTCATAGGACATTCAAGTTTTGAGAGGCAAAATGGCAGAAAAAAACCAAAGTGCAATTTCATAACTTCTGATGAATCTAAATCTTTGATTAAAATAATTTAATGATTTTCAACGAGGCTATATACACTCTTTGACACATAAAACGACACACCGAGAAGATATAAAGCACATTGGACACAAATCGATATGCATACAGGTTTCGAAGGAAAATGCAAAATTTTACAGTTTGGCTGCCAATGAATGGAGAGGAGAAATTACGATTCCAGGTCATAAATTTGTCATGAATTTCATTCTGTGTACTCTTGTAGACAGTAACTATGCCTCGCATACAGGTACATTAATGATATGCACAGATGTCAGAATTTGACAGAGGTCGTGTAGTTGGGTTCAAAAAAGCCGGTTGGTTTTATAGGCGAATAGCTCGACATTTGAGCAGGAGCGATGCCACTATTACACAATGTTGGACTGGAAGGGGGTATGACCTCTCTCACCAAGGGGGTGGTGGTAATTGGTTTCAGCTGTATTTCTCTGCTTTGAGCTATGATATCTGATTGCTTCTTTTCTTAGAAATTACCACATCTGCTTCATTGTTTATTTTAATCCACAGAAACAAAGTATTTTTGGATAGCTTTTTCATCGCACAGTCTGCTGACAGATTTGTCTAACAAAAATCAGTACAAGCAAAAGAAATGCAAGCAGCAGAACAGCAAAAGAGATGACGAAATTTCAACATGGAGAATTTGATTACTGATACAATGGATTGCTACTGGGATAATAATTCTGTAGTAACTATTAAATCAAATTTTATCACTCACAAACCATTAGGAAGAGCAAAAAGATGTGTCCAAGATTAAAAAAAAAGAATGTTAATGCTCTCCAACCTTACATTATAAAATTATATAATGAAGGAATGGGTGGAGTAGACCTGTTGGAGTTATTGACCAAAATTTCGCAGCAAAAATTGGTACTGGAACTTATTTATCAATGCACTGAATATAGTTTTGGCTGCTGGGTGGATCTTACACACTGATTTACACAAAAACACATTAGAAATGACTGATGTGAATTTTAGAGGAGAAATTACTTTGAATTTGCTTCAAGCAAAACCTAAAATTAATATTACACCTGGACTCCGTGTCTATCAAGTCAACATCTGCAAGAAAATCAGATGCACATTATATAGTTGCATCATTACAAGGGCGTTGTATAGCTTGCCAAAAAAAATAAAATAAAAATACTAAAAATATGTATTTTGAATGCAAAAAAAAAAAAAAAAAAATGCTCTATGTACGTTGCTTCCTGCAATATCATGGACACTGCTAAAAAGGATGATAAAAAATCAGAATTAGAATGTTTTAAATTTTTTTGCTATTGGTTGAAATCCCATGCACCTTCTAAAGAATAAAATTGATTTTTTAATGGTGAAGTATTTTACATTCTTAACTGCTTGCCTGATTATCCCGAGTTATCTCGGGTTCGTTTATATTGCAGTTAATTATTATCCCGAGAAAACTCGGGCGTAGCAGAATTTGTTAGTACGATTTCTTTTATCATGGTTTTACTCGGTCTGGAGGAAATGAAAGGAAATATTCAGCTTTGATTGGCAGTTTGCCAAATTTTGTTGGTTGCGCAGTTCTTTTGGAGAAGACTGGTTGCGTGTTTCCCTATTGTATAGTATCAATTGGCTTGTGGATTAGTAATGTATAAAAGAAGGATGCATGCGTTGGAAAAAAATAAAATAATGGCGATGATACAAGATAGCGAAAGCGATGATTTTTCAGATAGTGATTATGAAGAGGTGAGGAAAAAAATAAGAATTAAATAAAATCCAACGAGACAGTGTACTCTGTGCTCCTGTGAAAGAGATTCCAGTGGTAAGAAAGTAAGAAAAGAGACCAGATACCAGTGTAGAACGTCAGGTATCACTCTGTGGTGTCCCTTGTTTCAAAAACTATCATACAAAGATTAATATTTAACTTTTTTTCATTTGCTCGAGATAACTCGGGATAGTAAACTAATATTAAAAATAAATTCTTTTACACCTTCAAAAAATTAAAAATTCAACTTAAAACCTACATATTTTGATTTGTTTCGTTTTGTTGTATTTAATAATAAAATAAAAAAATGTGATGATTTTTTGCAATTTTTTTCAAAAAAATTTGTAAGGCACGCGGTTAAAATTGCACTTATTCGTATTATGTATACTGTTAGTCAAGCTTGTGTGTATGTGTAAATTTGTTTTTATTGTTTCCTTATGCTTTTTGGATTGCATTTCTTGTAAAATAGTATGCTAATTACAAATTATGTAAATTTTTTAATGAGTTTTACTTAAATTCTAGTAATTTCACATGAAATTTTTCAGTAAGCCATTATTACAGCATAACATTTTAAAAGATTCATCATACAATGCTTTGTTTTCCTGAAGCAAAAAAAAGAGAGAGAGAGAGAAAATACAGCATTACATGCCAACGTTCCAAAAATGGAACATCTGGGAAATCATAGACAGAAATATTGTTATAGCAATTTTTTGTTTTGTTTTGTTTTATAGTCTTTATGGGTTTATTCTAATGTAAATTTGATGACTTAGTTGTGACTTTTATTTCTGAATCATAGTGTGTCACGTAAAAGGTTAATTTTATAAAACTATAAAGCTATTGTTGGCAATTTCTGCATAAGATAATGATTTTATCCCAGCAAACCAACCTTTTCATTGTTTCGTAACGATTTTACTTTGGCAATTATTTTTTTTTAAATTAAGTGGGATATTAGAGCTATTGTTATGTATCACATAATCTATAAGTTACTAGCACAGTATGAGATCCAGCTTTCCAAAAAATACCTAGGAATTTTACAGAATGCTAAAAATTAGCTGGCAATGTACGAAATGATTGATCATTTCACAGACTGCCTAAGCATACTACAAAATGCATAATGAAAACAGGCAAAGTATGAAATATCTGGTTGTAACGAAAGTTTTCCACCAACAAACAGATACCTAAAATTCATTGAACAGGCTTAAAAACATTTAATCTTAATTTCGTATTTTTATTAGACTGCAGCAATAATCATAAATGAAGTACAATTTCAGTTCTGCCAAATCAAACAATATGGGGGATTAATAGAGCCTGACTAATTTGCACATTACTGGGACTAGATTTCAAAAAGTAAAGATGTTTATGATTATAGGTCCTTTCACAATGACAGCTTTCTACACTTTTTGAATCCAAAGACTTCTTGAAAAACTAATGCTAAGGAAAGAGAAAACTTTTGGACGTCTTTGGAAAAAGCTCCTCTGTTAAAATTTGAATAAATCTTAAGCCCACCTTACGTTAGTTTTGCCTCAATAAATAATTCAATCTAATCTCTGCCATCAAAAATTTTGAACAGCACATGTAGCAAACTTAAAGATACAGTTCTGCACAGTAATATTATTATTACTCTAAAGAGTGTAACATAATTTATTTTCAATTGATGAAAGTTTTATATCTAACCAGTAAGAGGCATTTACATATACAATAATGCAGATCTGTGGAATGGAATTTAGTACATACGTGTAATCTTAATTGATTCCATTTAATTTGTCCAATGCTAGAAGTTATTTCATACATGGCTTAACATTCATTCATCAAATATTTAAGCTTGCTAGCATCAGCTGTGGCCAGAAGTTTTCAACAATTTTCACCCTAATTTCACCAAATGTGGCGATATGTGTTCTGCGCCGGTTTTTGGCACGATTGCATGTTGTAGGGCAATCCTGTTGAGGTTGAAAAATCTTTCCCTGGAGCTTGTTGGTTCCTGTCATGCTTTGTGTCTGAGAAGATAGGGGGAAAGATAAAATGGAGAATGTTGTTGAAGTTCGGCAAAAGTAAATATCATTGTGGCTATCCTGTTGAGGGGCAGTGGGTATTTGGAGGTGTGGAAAGAGGGTCTGGGAGATTATTTTTAGTGGCTATGCATGACAGAAGTAGGGATCTGTAATTATTTGTGATTTTATTTATTTGTGAACCATAGTATGAATTTTCTGGATAGAGTGTCTGGCCGTCATATAAATACGATAGTGATTACGTGGTGGCATGTTAAAGGCGGTATGAAATTGGTATTTCTGCTGTTCGAAAAAGCATTAATTCATGGTATGTGCATTTTACTTTAATTTTGTTCTTATTTTGTAGAATGTTATGTTCATTGTTTTTTCTAGTATGAATTTCTGTTATTGTTGTTTGAAATTTATTTTAGTTTATTTTGTTGTTAGTGCATAGCGTCTAGATTGTACAATTCGTAGATATTTTTTAAAGTTGAAACAGAACGCTGTGTACATGGTTTTCTTTGAAATTTATTGTTGTTGTGTTAATTTATTAAAGCGAGGTGTGCGTAGTTCGTAGATTCGTTTGTTGCCTAGTGTGCAATTCGTAGATTTTTTTTTAAGTTTAAACAGGATGCTGTGTACATGGTATTCTTTGAAATATGTTGTTGTTACGTTAATTTATTAAAGCAAAGTGTGCGTAGTTCGTAGATTCATTCGTTGCCTAGATAAAAAATTTAGATAGTAATATGGCAGCGTGGAGTTTCTCGCCAAAAACGTTTGGTGAGGAATTTGGCGACCTGAGGGCGCATATCAGAGTAGGTCAGTATTTTCATATGTGGAAGAAGGGAAAGCCAAAGAACTAATGAAGAATGACAATTGAGAAATGATGAATGAAAAATTGAATTATGAAAAATACCAGTCAATAATGAAGAAAAGCAATGATAATGAAGGGAGAGATAAAGCACTTTAAACTAACAAGAAGTTAAACGAATTGGTTTAAAAAATACAGGAATTATCCGAATTTGCAATGGAGATTAACACAAATGAAGAAAGAAGATACTTTATGAGAGGCACTGAAAAACTCTGCACATTTTACCGCGAAATATAGTGTTCAGTCACTATCCTATGTAAAAAATCACTAGCTTTTTTTTAAAAAATATTTTATTATGTACTTATTAAGCAGTTAAAAAAAGTCCTTTCAATCAACATTTGCTTTGCTTTTTCTTTTAAGTACAACAGTATTTAAATTTGTTTAAATTAGACATACTTTTTAATCTGAATTATACCCAACACTTTTTTGTTTTCCACAGAACATTTATTTTGCACAATGTGATCATGCAATTTACATAATGTATTGATGACCTAACCTCTATGTTTAGCAAGTGTCTACTGTACTGAAGTAAAACTGGCATTATTTATTTCAATTTGTACTACTACAGAAGACATAATAAAATTTTCAGTTTATTGTAGATTAGTAAATTTTAATGAAGTAATAGATGTTGAAAGACATGGAATTTAAAATACGAACTTACTTAAAATACTACTTATGCAGAATTATTAAAAAAAAAAATACTACTACTTACGAAAAGAAAGCTATAAGAAAATTATATAAATTATGCATATGGCCTTACAAAATAAACTGAAGAGAGAGTGCTTTTATTATCATAGTGAACTGGAAAATGCTTTTCAACATTTTTAAGGCACTGAGAATTGAAGATCATGTGAATTTACATAATCAGGAAAATTCAGTTAAATTTCAATGCAGAAATGGCTGATAAATTTAAAATTACTTTCTTAAATGAACTTTTACATTTGTGTAATTTGTACGAATATTCTAATTTAAACTTAAGGCATTTATAAGGAAATGGCAGAACATATACTAGCATTTTCCAAGAAATAATGGTACACCAAGTTTTCTTATTTCAACTTGGATTTAATATGGGATTTGGTAAATAAGTAATAAAAATAAGAGACAGTATTCTGTAAATCTTGCTGCTATGTTTGTTCATAAATGCTAACAATCATACTATGTTGAAAATACTATATTATTAATGCAAAGTCTTTTTTCAAAGACTCTGTGGATCTAGTACACCCAACTAAATATGGCATCAAAATTCTGAGATTAACAAATTCAGCTGAAAATGGCAGTTTTCCATATTTTTTAGCATTAAACGTTAACCTTTGCATACTAAATCAAAAAAAGGTTTTCAAAATCAATAACAATGCGCATGATATTATAGAAAAAACTGATAAAACACTTTATAAATTTGGTCGAAATGTAAAAAAATATAATTAACATACTAGTTATTCAAAAGATTTTTTTTCAACTAGAATTATTATACTTGCAATGCTTAATGGAATTTTAAAAAGATTAAAACTGGTATCAACTTTAACCAAAGAGAGAAAAGAGGCCCTTTATTAATACATAAAGCTGATTCTACAAACGAAAACATATTAAAAAAAAGGGGGGGGCACCTAAAATATTTGGTACTTCCTTATTATAGTGGCCCCCAAGACAGAATTGCTTAGCAACCGAGATATCTTGCCACATGTTCTTATACCTCACTACATGCTACATCTTGGTTGATTAGTGATTAAATTCTGGGGGCTGCTATAATAAGGACGTACCCAATATTTAAACTATTTAAGGTTTTTTTTTTTTTTTTTTTTTTTTTTTGTTGTCCTTGGCAAATAGTCATACAAAACAATGTTCTAGCATGAGTAAGCGACAAGGAGACCAAAAATTATTTGCCAAGAAACAAGAAAGTCTATAATGCTGCAAACAGCTTCTGTCAGAAGAACAAAGACAATAACTTGTTTAACTACAACACACTTTGGCTTAACTACAATAATTTGTTTCGCTTGCAACAAATATAATTGCAGAAACCACAGCCACAACTTGTGTGCAAAATGAGTTTATAAAATGAACTGAAAAATAACTAAAGACATGCTCATCTTTTATGTTAGCAAAATATTCCATTCAATATCAAATAAATCTTTAAAAAAACTTAACCCTTCCTAACATATGGGTATACTAAAATTAATAAGGGATGTTACGTACATAAATTTATTACATACGGTAAAGAACATTTAGATCCAAATAAAATATTTTAAAATATGCTGATAAGCAAGTTTTACAGTTTTGTTCAAGATATTGCATTAAAAATTGGATTTAAAAGAATGACGGCTCATTTTAAGATTGGAGGTCGCCTCACAACTCGTGTACTCTCTCTAGAGTTGAAATAGACGATAGGTGATAAAATACGATAGATTTTTTAAATTTCTATTGGCGCGTTACAAGACAACTGAACATCAGATGAAAAAGAAAACAAAGACGAGAAAACTGACATCAGTTTATATATAAATTCATGACGTTCTTCCAAGTAACGCTCTTAAACCGAAATCCGACGAAGGAAAAGAGCATTAAGAATTTGCATCATTTAATTTGTGTATATTTTGGACAATGCTCTTTACTGATCTTAGGCTTCATATTAAGTAATTAGTGATATGATCAGCATCTTGTTTCTTCAAGATAATGCACAAAAATCAAGCTTGTTTAATGATTTACCCACTGTACCAGACTAGGTAAAATATTAATAGTCTAAAACAATAGAAAGTGAATAATACTAAAAAATACAGTTGGTTATTACGCACAAAAGTTATTACTTACAGGATTGTTGTTCATCTTTGGCAAATCAAGTTGAATTCCGCTTAAACAAGGGTATTTTATAGCTGTAAATACAAATGCTTCGCAAACCGACGCTACGGATAATGGAGTCCTGTGGTTCACTGTTGCCAGATGGCGCAATTTTCTGCTACAAAACCAAGGCTTCTTGTACAAACCTCTGGAACTAAATTTTTGCTATTTTGAGAAAATTTTTGCTGCTCTGTTATTTGCTCTTGTGCTATGTTTTGCAATTTTAAAATTTTCTAATAGATTTTAAAATGCTTATATGTTAAAATAACTCATCTACTAAAATAAGTTTACATTAACCTCCTCGGTTCCCTTGTATCACATGTGATACAAAAGTTTCATAATTTTTTGTGAAGGCTGAGCTGCAAAAACAAATTTGGGACCGGTTGTATCACATAAGATACAAAGTGAAATACCTCATATATTTTCCTCGTTTAGTCAACAGATGGCAGTACTTGTCCATGATAGCGATTTCTAGTAGCATCTCTGAATCAAAACAAAATGTCTGCAGGTCGTCGAAGTAAGTATTTTTTTTTTTTTATTTATATACAAATATTAAACTATTTTTAAAATATGCTTTCTTTTTGTATATGTACTTTTTACTAGTTAACAGCAAAAAAAGAAATTTTTACTGAAATATTAAAGTATAATGACTTGTGATATTTGTTTGTATCACTTGTGATACAATGGGACCCAATCACTTATGAACACACTTTTTAAGTCAATTTTGTTTTAATTTTTAGTTATATTTTGGGGGGATTTGAAGATTGATAGAAGTATTTCTTGAATTCAAATCTTTAGTTGAGGTGTTTGCATTCCATTTTTACCCATTTTTCCGGATAATTTTATATTTAATAAGTATTTTTTTCAGTGAAATATTTGACACCAGATGAAATTTTAGAGCTGATGAATCGCGATGATTCTGATTTGAGTTCACTGTCAGATGAAGATGATTATCAAAGCGATAATGGATGTGAGATGGATGATGTTGATGAAGATCAGGATGTAACTTTTGACTTTTCTGCTCCAACTCAATGGGGAATACATACAGATAAGTTCAATCCAGTTTCATTTGATTTTCAGGAGGTAGGATGCTTTGAATATCAAAGTACTGCACCCATTGAATATTTTATGGAATATTTAGATGAATGTTTTTTTGAAGATTTGGCAAATTTCAGTAACATTCGATCCGTAACACGTACTGGCAAGAGTATTAATGCATCAAAAGAGGAAATGATGACATTCATAGGCTGCAGTCTTCTTTTGTCCTGCTATGGGTAAAAAAGTTATTTAGGTTTTAATAGAAGTTGGCCTGAGATCGTAAGGAGGTTCCTTGTGAGATCATTTTCGTAAAGGACAAACATATTTCACATCACCAAGAAGTCTTCTGTTTGATGAAGAAAGTGAATAGATTGACGAAGTTAAATATCTATGAGCCATCCTAAATAAAACAAAATGACTTTTCAGAACCATCTCAGGGAAACTGTGCAAAAATTAATATCACCCTAGCAACTACACGCTCAATTCTTGGTAGAAGAAGTCATATGGCCACTTCAAATAAACTCAATCAACTTAAATAAATGTATACTTCGACCTGCATTGCTCTATGCTAGTTCTGTCTGGGGCCACGCTGCAAAAACTCACCTTCAACATATCCAAGTTCTTCAAAACAAATCATTAAGAAAGATTATCAACGCGCCTTGATTCATTACAAATTCATATATCCACCGTGATCTCAAAGTACACACAAATCAAAGTTATATTTAAAAACTTGCCAGAAATTTCTTCGATTCAGTTCTCACTCTCCTAGCAGCTGCATCAACTTTCTTAGGTGTTCTCCATTTCCCAGAGAAAAAACACAAATCTCCATCTGACATTCCCCTTCCTTAACATTTTTTACTCATACTAGACTCTTCAATTCATTGATTTGGACCTTCCACCAGAAGCCTACCTTCTCTGTCGACTGATGGCGGCCACTTGACTTAATACTTTCGTTTTATTTTGTCCACTTATTGTTTTACTGTTGGTTTTCACCAGACGCAGAGTACAAGGAAGTATTGCTTTCTGAAACTCTAATCCATACATCTTCTTAGTAGTGTAAGCACAATTGTAAATTATTCATTGTTATTAAACAGAATATCTACTGAGAAATGGCAACAGCTAATTTCCGGATGTCGTTCTATTTGATATTATTTAAAGAATATTGAGATGATCCTCACGTACTGAAGGAAATGGCGTTCGCCAAAGCTTTCGTCTCCTTTCTTCTTGCTTAAAAGCAAGATTGCTACAGATTAAGATGATATGAAACTATAATGTATATTGGTAGATGCAGTAAGAACGTCTGTTAAATAATGTACGTTTACGAATACGTTACGTGTAGGTTAATAAGTAACGAGTATGATTTATTTTAAATAAAAGTTTGTTTGTCTTTTACAATCGTTTTATGAGTGATAAAAACTACAAAGGAAGCTAACAGTAGTACAGCAGGTGCAAACGACGTTCAGCGTGAGTGGCTGGTGTTTCACATGATTAACTTATTTAATCTTGAAAGTTTACCATACAAAGGCCATTATTAAGTGTCACTTCGACTGAAACCAAACATCAGAATAAAATGCGCTTGGAGCTCCTAGTTTCCATACTTCGAATGAAGATGTCTGGGACATTGGATATTTTCTCATTGAAATTTCGTGGAAAAAAATTCAATTTTAAGTCAAAGGATAAATTTAATTTATTTATTTAGTATATATGGCAGCAATACTTCTGTTTCTGTCCTAGAACACTCTGCTTAGAGCATGAGGGAACTTTTGACAAAACCTCTGGAGTTCCCTCTTAGGAAGGGAGATTATATACATACACTAGAAAGCCCGGCGGTCATACGAAATGACCGCTGTTCTAGATATTATAAATTGTAATTAAAATTATTTGTGCTAATTCAAACTGAATTACCAAGGGCAGGCAGCGAGGACGCCCCTTTGCTTACTGCCCCACGGGGTTTTACCCTTCTACTTGCTTAATTGCTTAAAGTGCAATGAAGGAAACCACTGGCGGTACATTTCTTAAGAGCCACCGCTAGTTCAATAAATAAAGGTATTTTAAATAATAAAATGTTAATTCACATGTCAATGATCTCTTTGTACACAACATTTCTTGTGTAGATCTTTCCATCATTTTTAAGCTCGCCTTGCAGAGGACAATCCATTATTTTTAATTTTACGTCCGTTCTTTCACGAACTCTTGAACAGGCAACATAAAATTGACCGTGTCCAAATGCAGGCTCAGGTAAAAAAATGCCAACACGCTTAAGCGTTTGGCCCTGAGACTTGTTGATGGTCATGGCAAAGGCAAGTTTTAGAGGAAATTGTTTACGTCTCAATTGAAACGGCAACCCTGTGCCGTGGCAACTTCACCCCATTGGCTAGTACAGTTACGCAAACAACCAATAAACTATCGGCGACAAACAGACACTTAAGGCGCATATAATAAAGGTGTTTATTTATTTCATTTTATTTAGTTTTTTATCGTTGCCGGTTTTTGCCGGTTCCATATTTCCGAATTCTATTGTATATATATAGATGTTAAATTTATTTATTAAATGTTACATGCACGTACTCTTGTATTTTTAATTTTTCCGGCTTCGCTTTCTCATAATATTCGTCACGCGCTGCACTGCACGCGGAATAAAGCCATTTACAGTTACGCAAGCAACCAATAAACTATCAGCGACAAACACTTAAAGCCGCATATATGTAAGATATATATTAATAAAGTATGTTAATAAAAATAATAATAATATAGTTTAGATAAGTTCTGACAACAGTGAGTGTTGTCGTCATCAGGAGATCGTGCTTCGCGATACTGTCGTTCAAATAATAGCTATAGTTTGTAATTCCAATAAAAAGCATCGTATTTTTGCTCTGCTATTTGTTTTCTCTCTATTTTTAGAAATACCTTTTTAGGTTACGTAATTTTAAGAAAACCTTTTTGAGGTTATGAGTCAAGCAAGCTCCCATATTGCGTCAAATATTTTGAATTGATGTTTTCTCGAAGAAACGGAACTCGTTAAGCCTAATCAAGTAAGTGTTTTGTTTTCACACACATACACACAGATCGTATTTTATTCTCGAGTGTCAAGATGTAGAAACATCTTTTTACTCGACTTCTGATAAAGATCGGGTGGGGGAGAAAGAGAAGGGTGAAAGGAGTGTGGGAGGCGGATGAAAGAGAGTGAGGTCCACACTAGCGGCGGCGAAAAAAGGGGGGTGTCAAGTTCAGTGTCGTTATAAGATGTAGCCGCGGGTGGTAAAACCGCAGAGTCAGTTTTGCGTGAATGAGTCAATTAAGGTTGGGATTCTTATGTGGGAAGGATGTCACAAGGAAAACGATATTTTTCTTTGGGACGCGGGGAGTGTCTGAGAGTGTTAATAAGGCTATTACTGTGGGTTTGTACTGAATAAAAGAAGTTGACCGCTAATCGTTTAATATACTCTTGAATAAGTTCGATTCGAAGGTCTCTGTGAATATAGATGTTGGGAATATACCAAGGAGCATTGATAATTTCTCGTAGAATTTTATTTTGTAGAATTTGTAATTGTTTAAAATTGGTTTTAGCTGCATGTCTCCAAATCGGTGCTGCATAAAGAAGAGCTGGGCGCAGTATGGAGCGATATAGAATTAATTTGTTTGTAGTAGATAAGTTGCTTTTTCTACCAAGAAGAGGTCGCATAGTAGCTGTGGTGATTTTAAATTTTTGTACTACGGACCGGAAATGGGTTCTGAACGTAAGTTTTTGGTTAAGGGTGACTCCAAGGTATTTGGTTTCATTAATCCAGTCTATTTCTTCGTCAAATATTTCAGGGGGTTGAGGATAGTATTTCATGTTTCCTTTACGGAAAATTATTGCCTTAGTTTTATGTGTTAATTTTAATCCTCCAAAGGATAAGCCATTTTTCCAGTTTTATGGGATAGCTTTGGAGTTGGTTTCTTACGGCGATAACTGTGCAGGCTTTAGTAAGTATGGCGGTGTCATCGGCAAAGAGTGCAATATGAACAGAGGGGTCTTTAGGGATGTCTTGTGTATAATATTAAAAAGGTAAGGCGAAAGTGCCGACCCCTGTGGGATAAAAGCATTGATTAC